TTGAAAATCCCATGTGTTATAGAACGGCGGGTCCACTATAAAGAAAACATTTTCCTTGTCTTATATTTTTCATACAAACTCTGTCCAACGACATCTCAAAACTCTATACCCTCAATATATTTTTCTATGTCCTCTTTGAAAACATTTGTATAGTTAAGATATAAAACTTTTGACATAAGTGTTTCAATGTCATGAACTCTTATAGAACCACTATATAATAGTCTAGCAGATATACTATCCCAGTCTATATATTCTGCTTTTTCAAAACCTCTCTCACAATATTTTTCTTATCTAATGGTATACGTTCCATCTTACCTATCTGAATCTTTTCTTTTAACTCACTCAATATTTTGTTAGTGTCTGGAATATGTTTGAGACGGTCCATATAGTTGTCGAAGTCATTGCATATAATCTTTGAGTTCTGGGAATATTATATGGCACAAATGGGATATATAGAAACTTCCACCGAACAATCTACAAATGTTAGACCATTCGGTAGTTTCTTAAGTTCTCTCAATATAATATCTTTACATTTACTCTTATTTCCAAAGAACGGTAACGGTGGTTTTGTAAAATTCATTTATATATAATAATAAAAAATGTTTCCCTGAAAAGTGACAGAAAAGTGACAAAACATGAAAACATATATAATTTGTGAAAAGCGACACATTATATAATGTTTTCGACCCAGAAGAAGGCTTCTCCCAGAAAGCAATGGAGGAGAAGAAAAGAGTCCTCCGAATTCACACCAGAAGACTAACAATTTTCCGAATAAAAACTTCATTTATACTAAACATCTTCAGGGCTAGAGGGCACGAAGTGCCTGGAGGCCCCACTACCTTTTTTTTTTTTTTTTTTTTTTTTTATTCATCACCTTATGGTATGCCCTAAAGCAATAGCATTATCAATTCTGCTGAATTGATCAACTCAAAATTCCAAAAAAAATTCAAAATTTCAAAAATGAAATTAAACAATTTGAATTTTCACATGAAAAAATCAATTTCGAAAAAAATTTGGAAAATCAAAGTATTTGATAATTAGTCAAATAATCAATTTACATCGTTTTTACTCATAAAAAACAACTAATTTTTGATTTTGATATCATATTTTGATAAATACTCATTCCAGAGTTGACGTAATGTATTAATTATTGTTAGAGATATTGCTTTCGCAGCAAAATTCTTATTTCATGAAAGAAAAAAAAAATGATTTTATTCCAACAAAAACAAGTAAACAGATGAATGGAAACGTACTATATTTTCATAAATGTAGTAATCGGCGTGTCGGCTTTTGTTTATCATGTTCGAGTCAAAATGTATTAACTTGTAATAAGAAATATTCGAAGATTATATGAAGTATTGAGCATTCTTTGTAGAAATATTTGTAATTCATTACTAACATATATAATAAAGTTGTTTTTTTTTCCTTATTGCAATAATTTTGTCTGATTTTAATAACTTTTCATGTATACGAGTTGTGTGAATATGCATCATAATATGCGTAAATATACTTATTTGCGACGAATAATGTGGTTGCATAATGGAGGTGCTAAATTTTGATTTTTAATATGGGGCTTTGGTATGTATAATCATGTTCTTATCTCAACGTAGGAGTATTGGTGCAATATGATTAAAATTTACGAGGGTTGATCTTAAATTGAATAATTCTGGAGTATAAATCACAATGCAGCTAATTCTATGTTAAAGATAGATACAGATTGTAGTAATCAATTAGGGAGTACAAATTCATTCTTTCATTTCTGTCGTATTGAGCAGAAAGGAAGAGATCATAACCCTAGGAAAAAAAGCCCAAATTTGTCACTTTTCATAGTACGTTAAACTCAATTCGCTCGGCGAATGCCGAGCACACGTACTCATCATTCAACATAATATTCTCATTCTTTGGTTATTATAGTGCCAGACAACACAAGATTTCAAAGAATTACTTGAGTTTTCAATTAATCTTAATCCGATTTTAGATTTATCGAGAACTCCATCATCACAATCACATACTTCAGTGCGGTAACTACAATTATCCATATACAGAAGGAAGTTCTTTTCGAACAACTCATTTGGAGTCTGTTTTGGAAAGAACTTCTTTCTGTCCGACTTAATTTCATAGTTCCTGATCAACCAAAAGACAGAAACCACACACTATCTACTTAGGAAAGGAGTTCTTTCTAAATCTTCCTTAAATTGAGATTTTACGAGAGATAACCCTTCTATTGCACTTAAAAATGAACATTTTGATATCTTTAGTATCACACATGGTCATATATAGTATTTCATCTACATGAATACATTCATCTTTCGAAGTCTCTCATTAAATGGGAGGCTTCGAAAGATGAATCGTTTTATTCATACAACTTTAAATCTCGAACACATTTAGAGAGTGAGTATATCATTTTATTCTTGTTTTGAGTTTATTCTGATTCAAAATTGCAGTGAAAACAGAAGTTCACACATCATATCTGAATGTGAGCTCATCTATACTTATACGATCTCAATACCTCCACTCTAAGCATAAGAGGTGAAGTTATATAAAAATTATCAGATGCGTTGAAGTCTCAAAAGTATTGCCTGAATGCTTGTTTCATATTTGTCCAAGTAGTTTCAATGAATAAATGTATTGTTTTTTATAATTTCGATTTATTTTTAGAAAATATTCAATATAAACCTTTATTGTGTTATTTACATCTCATAAATTCTCTGTCTAAATCATATAAAAGCGCGTTTTACCCCTATGAATCAAGAAATTCATTCAATATTCATGGTATATTTATTAAATTTATACGATTTACTAATAATCAATATTATATCCTCATAAATAGCAATATATTTTTGTAATCTATGATAATCATATACAATATTTGAAATCAAATTTTCATTAGTTTAGGTTCCTTGTTAATAGTAAACCATTATATTTATTACTGATAATAAAATCTATGTGTCGTATTGAAATTCAATAAAATTACTTATTCGGTCCAAAAAAACAAATTAGATAAAATTTTTCTTTTTTTATGTAATTTTTGTTTTTCATTTTTCTCAAGATCCTATGTTATGTTCTAACTTTTGACATCATATCCTATCATGCTAGGCTATATATTATAGTATAGATCCAAGGTGATGTGATTTTTGCATCCCTGGGATGGACGATACACCCAAAGTGTCACCTTTTTTGGGATAACATGAATTTTAAATATCATGAGAGTTCTGCAAACCATATGCACAATATCTATTCAGCCTGACTTCTTGTATATATGAGTTAGACTTCTTAAATATTGTGCTTGGGGCGATATAAGCATTTCCGAGATTACCATCGTGCTCTATAGTATGCTACTTCTCCCTGGTTCTAGCTCAGTTCCAAGGATATTGGCGTTCAAGGATTTGGCAAGGTCCTTCCGAAGTCTCTCATTCGATGAGAGATTTCGGAAGAATCTTGCCTTAAAGTACTCCAACTCTTGTTCTTTTGTTCCTAAATAGTGAGAAAAGTTATTTGACTACTTAAGGTAGAGATTATCCGAGGTCCCTCATTTGATGAGAGGCCTCGGATAATCTCTGCCTTAAAATTGTACACTTGTAGTCCATGAGAGTGTAAGTATACATTGATAGGACAGCTTTCTTCTGAAGTCTTAGATTTGATGAGAACCTCAGAAGAAAACTGTCCTATTTTATAGTAAAAGGAGTTTCAGGAGCTCCAAAGCTCCCTTTCGTAAGGATTAGGAGCTTTGGAGCTCCTGGTTCGTAGATGTGTTTCGCATCTTTCATCAGCAAAGGACATTTACCATCTGGGACTATGTTGATGGAGACTCAGGAGCTCCAAAGCTCCCTTTAGTAAGGATTAGAAGCTTTGAAGCTCCTGGTTCGTAGACGTGTTTCGCATCTTTCATCAGAAGAGGCCCAAATGGTAAATAGCCTCTGCTGATGAGCTTCAGGAGCTCCAAGGCTCCCCCTCGTAACGATTAGGAGCTTTGTAGCTCCTGAAGGTAAGGTAGGATTGCTCTGATCTCTAATCAGTAGATGCCATGCCTCATTATGAACTCTACTGACAAGAGATCAAGAGCTCCAAGGACTCCCTTTTTAGTTAGTGGCGTTCTCACCATTTAGTAGGATTGCTGATCCTACTAATGAAGTGATCACTTAGTATACGTTTTGAATAAATTGAATTTTTTTTTAGAATTTAGTATTTTTTATAGACATCACATGTATATTATAAATACATAAATATATTCTTTAATTCAAAAAATTCAATTCGGTTTTGGGATGGGTATCCCAGCCCCAAGTATTCAATTTTATTCAATTTTTTAAGAATTTTGGGTTGGGATGCCCAGACCAAAACAAGCTTTATATTTTGATGTGTAGATACGTATGTGTGCATCATTGTTGTGTTATATATTATGTTTTTAAAGAAAAAAAATCTGATTCAAAAAAAATTATCACTAATTAGTTGATAATATAAAGAAAAAATAGATAAATTGTATGTTTTGAGAGTATTTATCCACATTCACTCATATGAATTCATTAAATAGTGTCTTTTTACTCCCAAATTTATTTTGAATTATTGAAATCAAAGAAAAAAATCAAAAAAAATTTCTCGAAATTTTTATTTTCAAAAAAAATTTGGATTTTATATTGAAAACTGACACTGGGAGGACGATAGGGCTGGGATTGGAGATACCCCGCTCACTTGGGAAAAATACGGATCTATATTATAGCATATCCAAAAGGCAAGGAAATCTATCAGAGAAGCCTTTTTGACCTATCGTTGCCCTACCTCTTATTTTGCTTTTTCAAAAATTTTACGTGTAAACTTAATTTGCACAGATAGCCGTATGACACGACCCTCAACTTTGGTCTTAATTTTCAGTGACGCCTGTTGCCAGAAATTTGAATTAAAGTCAGATGGGCGTAAGTACACTTTAATTTTTGTGAACAAAACGTGCAATTTATTAAATAGAATTTCATAGTAAAAAAATATAGATAAATAAAAAAGAGAAGGGATTATTCACGCTTTGGAACTTTATCCAAAGCTTCAAGTAATGCGCATTCATATTTCTTTCTGAGAGATTGCCACTGTGGCTTGAGTGTTGGTGTCAACATTCCATTTTCGACAGAAAACTCTTCTGTATCGAGAACAACAGCGGAGATTCTTTCGAAACCTCTCATTCCTGCCTTCTTGTGCTCGTCAGCAAGAATCTGGAGTACTTCCTTCTTGGCGATATCGGAATCAGCGATATTTGTGATTCCCGCCGCTTGCCATTTCTGAATTAATTCATGTGTTGGAACAACAACGGCTGCTGGTGAATCATGGTGGGAATCTGCATAAACATAGATGTTTGCGACTCCTGGTGCGCTTCCGTATGCATCGTTAAGATTAGTAATGGCAAGATATTCTCCTTGAGAAAGTTTAACGAGCATTTTTGCGCGGTCGATGATAGAAATAATTCCTGACTCGGCAATTTGGACGATATCTCCGGTAGCGAACCATTCGTGTTTCTCATCAGCGAAAGCTTCGTCTGTGAGCTTCGGTTCCTTGTAGTATCCCTGGAATACATGTGGTCCTTTAACAAGCAACTCACCGCAGGCAGGAGTTCCTCGTGGATTGTACATGAATCCTTCGACTTTCCGCAATTTGACCATGGAAACAGGTGTTATTGCGCCGCAGTCGCATGATGTGAACGCTGGGATCTCTTGGACTGTCAATCCGGCAGCAACTTCGGTTAATCCGTAGCCTTGAACGATATTCGGGCAAATTGCAACGCGAAGGAAGTCGTAGACCTCAGGAAGAATTGGAGCTCCACCCGAAACAAGGAATCTGACACGTCCGCCGAGTGCATCTGCGAACTGTTGGAAGATTATTCGGTCAAGAATGAAAGAATGTGGTCTTTGGGCTTTGATTGCTTCGGATTTCATCTTAATGGCCCATTCTACGAGCATTCGCTTCGGTGCTGGAAGGGCTTTGACCTTTTGAGACATTTTATCTACCATTCTGTTCCAAACTCTTGGGACGCCGATGATAATTGTTGGCTTGAGGGCTTGGATATCCTCTGTAAGGCGGCGGATATCGCCTGTCGAGAAGCCAATGGCCGTTCCTTGGGCCATCATGACGTATTCGACGGTAAGTTCGTAGATATGAGCTAACGGTAAGAAGGAAAGGAATGTATCTGATGTTGTGATGGATATGCCAAGGTTCGTGAAGCCAACAGCACCAGAAATTAAGTTATTGTGTGTTAAAACGCAGCCTTTTGGAGTTCCTGTGGATCCTGATGTGTACATGATGAAGGCAATTGTTTCTGGCTTTGGCATTTGTAACTCTGTTGTCTCTGTTTCACCAGTTGTGACAATTTGATCCGCGGTATAGGTCATAATACGAGAATTTTCTGTGGATGGAGCTTGATTATCCATTGCAATGATGTGCTCGAGGACTGGGCAGTCTTTAGCGATAGAAAGGAGAGATTGGACCTTGGACGGATGGCAAACAACTGCTTTGCACTCGGCATGGTTGATAATGTACTGAGCAGCATTTGGACCGAGGGAATCGTAGACTGGAACTACAATCATTGAGTTAGAATGTGCAGCAAACTGTGTAATTTCCCAGTATTGGCAGTTCGGGCCATAAATACCGACTTTATCTCCGGGGTTAAGACCAATCTTGGAAAGACCACGGGAAAATGCAACGACTCTGCGGTAGAACTCGGTATAAGAGATATAATCGTATTTTCCATACTTGCCATCAGGTAATTTCTCGCGCTCTCCGGTAAAATTCTTTGGACCGTACTTGACAGCTGCTGTTTTGATCATGTCAGCAGTTGTTTTAGCATCTGGCATGCATCTGAAAGTTGAAATCAATGTACCGCCGTTCTCTTCGAAAACGTGCTTGTTCACATAGACTGGACTTTCATTTGGATCACCACTATCTTCGTAAATTTGATGAAGAACACGGCTTTCGGACGCGCCCATTTTTTTGAAGGAAATTGAATTATAAAAATTATTCCGGTTTGAGTGAGATTCCTCACAAATTTATCGGCTGATCAAAAAAATTGTTGAATAGCAATAGTTGTCATTATTATGAATACTCTTCAAAATGGAAATGACAATATTAATGCTATCGTACTTATGATTGTGAAAGGGTTACGGTTTTTTGATTGTTATGGTTATTCGATTTCCTACTTACATCCGCATTAAACCTTAGCGATTTACTATCATATCCGATGCCATCATTTGATTTAAAATTATTTGGCAAATAATATCATACGATTTTACAGTTCAATTTCATTTTGGTTTTATCTTTTTTCAAATATCGAAAATACTAATACAATGAAATATAGAGAGAATATGTGTTTATGTGGAAGGAGAATTAGTCGCATATCTTTAATTTTTTTATGGATTTTAATATAACACCATTAATCAGGACGTTTTAACTTTAGATGAAATTTTGGCTCAATTTCTGTCAGTAGCTGTCCACAGGAATCATATATTTTTTTTTTGATATTTTTCAATATTCGTTTCAAACTGTATATTTTTTGGTCAAATAAGGTCTAAGATAAGATGGATTGCATGAAAGGACGATTCTACACTAGTTTTATTTTTCCTCACTGTTCCATTCAATATATCAATTTTTATACAATATTTTGTTTCAGTTACATATCACTATCTTATCATGAGAATATAATATTAATTGAATGGCAAACCCAAATTTTAGCTAAAAGTGACAGGGAAAAAAACGTTTAGTATTTAAAAAAAGACCGATGAGAGCTTCGTTCGAAATATAGAGGGAACTGAGAATGCGCAACCATTCTCAGGGAATATTGGATGCTATTCCCGTTCCCTCTGTATGGAAAATTGAGGTTTTCAAAGGGAGTTAAAATAATATCAAATTTATACTAATTTACTTCAAAATACAAAAGTATTTGACAGCTAAAATTAGTTACTTTAGCAAGCCTATCAATACCCTTTTACGATTATTGCTACTTTTTCGAAATAAAAGTAAAAACAAATTTATACTAATTTACTTCAAAATACAAAAGTATTTGACAGCTAAAATTAGTTACTTTAGCAAGCCTATCAATACCCTTTTACGATTATTGCTACTTTTTCGAAATAAAATAAATTTATTATCAAAAACCTTTTTTTTGGGCGCGTAAAGGGTTGGCGTCCTAAGGCGTCCTGATGTAAACTATTCAATTTTTGAGAAGTTTACACCATAATTGAATAGTTTATGGCGTCCTGAGAAGAGATTTCAATGGGTATGGCGTCCTAAAAAATAGAAGAAAATGATTTTTTCTCGATTTTTCTAGAAATTGAATTTTTTAAAAAAGAAAAAAATCAAAACGTATACATTCAAGAGACTATAAATGAAGATTTTTCTATTTTTTTCATTCTAAAACATCTTTTTTTGGATAATTTTTTTTTAATAAATATGTAAGAAAGATTGAAGAAAAAGTAAATTTACTTTAAGAAAATTCGTTTTACATGATGTAAGACCCATAACAACTATAATATTCAATTATTTAAATAAAAAAAGAAAAACAGATTAAATGTATCTCACATCAAAATCCATTGACCTAAGGATGTTAAGTTTCTGTTTTTAAAAGTTGATATTTTTTTTTTAATTTTAAGAAATTAATAGCATGTTATTAGACAATAGGAGTGTAATGATATTGACTAAACAGAAATGAGAGAATAGAGATATAATTTTGATAAGCAATATTGCGAACAAATTCTGAAGTAAAATCGCGATCAATAATTGAAAATTACGATCATGTACTGAAAAATGACGATCGAATTGAATGAATAGAATTATATCTAAGAAAAAATAAATTGTATTTAGAAGATGAACAAAGAAAGGGTATGCTAAAAATCATTTAACAATAAATGGAAATAAAACGAAATTGTTAAAAGAAAAAAAATGAAAATTGTTAAATAATATATTATTTTTTAGTCATAAGAATAAAAATATAGTAGTTATAAAAGGAATTAGACTTCATATATCAATTCTTTTTCTCTGTAGATGTGGAACGTTTGCTTTTCGATCTCTTTCGATGAACTTGAAAATATAAGTTATTATCGCTGAGAATCCTTTCCGAAATAGGAGCTTTACGTTTAGGGGATTGTCAGATGAATTTTGTTTTTTATTGTTGATTTTGTTGTTATGGAAGATTTTTTTCTTATTTTTCAGAATTTTGCTTGCTATTAACTGAAACTTGTTTTGACGCCCAACAATAGCATTTGTAGTAGGAAGAATTCCCAATAACGAGCGCATTTTCGATAATTGTTTTTCAATATGATCAAGAAGGTCCAGCTTATGTTCTAGATTACTAGACATTTGATTTGTAGAAGGATGGTTTTGATTTTTGGTTCTAAATCTGTAGAGTCTGCAATATTTGAATTTTCGGAGCGAATTGGAGCATCTGAACCTTGATTTGTATCGGCTTGCTCAAAATTAGTTTGAATTGGAGTGGATGAATTAAAATCTGGATGATTTAATGTTTCATTAAATAATGCCATAATTTTTTTCTCTTTTTTCATTAATAAACTTAGTGATCATTGTATCTTTATCTGTTAGATCGATCGATTTGAGTATATCTGCATCATGAACTGGAATATTTTCGAACAATGAACTCGATTCTATGGAACCATATGGAGAAATCTCGTTCTGAGCCAAAGAAAGATCACTTACGTTGTATTGTTTGATAGAAAAATTGTTTTCTCAAGTTCTTTTTGAAAGCAGTCAAGAATATAATTTTTGTAGCTATCAGTGATAACGGTTTTTATATGGCGCTCGATCTTCTGGTTATTTTTGATGGCGTTATATTTATCTAATTGGATTTGAGATATCTTCTTAATAGCTTCATAAATGTTTGGATGTTTTAACGAAGAAAATTCTGAATGCATACTCTCGAGGCAATCATTAGTGAATATTGCAGTTGCATTATTATATTGAGATATTAAATTGTAGTGCGGCAACCAAACTTTGTTGAAATAATCAATATAATCTTTGATCGATCAACTTTATTTTGATTAATTATATGTACAAAAATTGTAAGTACAAATTCTTCATGAGACATGAATGGAGTAATAGAATATAGCTTAAATAAAGAATTTTGTAAAGTATTGAAATTTTTTGTATAAAGTGCTACAAGTTTCCTGTGTAAAGCTTGTTTGAAATGAAATAGGCATCCAATTATACGGACTTTAGGGAAAATTTGTTGAAGTGCCTCTATCATTCCCTTTTCAAAATCACAATGAATTTGAATTAGCTTTGAAAATTGAATACCCTTGACAGTAAAAATATATTCAAATGCCTTCTTATAAGATTCAAATGTGCGGTTTTTCATGAATATAAATAAAAGTGGTAGATATTGATTTGTTGAAGGTTCACAAATCATAATTGTTAGCATCTGTCCTTTTTGAAAATGTTTTGGTGTAATTTTAAAAGTTCCATCGCAAAATAAATCTGTGGCTTCTTTTGCAAATTGAATTGCCTTCTCAAAACCAAAAAACATCGTCTCACAATTTGCTTGAAAATCATGGCCAATGAAAAACTGCTCGCCATTTATTAAACAAAAATTAGCAATTTCATCGTCTGTAATTTTTTCTCCAACAGAAAATTTTCTGGACTTATTATAAACTTCCCTGACCAATGAATCTTTAATTAATGGGTTTTCATCAGTACCAACAGCAAGTTCTGTCATAAATTTTTTAATCTGCTGAAAAGTGCCGTTGTCTTCAGAAAATTTTGCCATTGCCTTATTGTATATTTCTGTCAGAGTCATTGATTTATGAAGATCATTTTTTTCATTTTGTAACTTTTTAAATTGTCTGCATTCGGGTATATGTTCCTTTTGTAAATCTTCGGAAACTGAACTGTTCTCAATTTTAACTAAATAACGTGCTTGACAAGAATGATCGATGCAACGGTAGTAACGTTCAATATTATTTGAATTAATAATATTTGTATGATCATGCGAATAAAGCATATCTTTGCGAACAATTGTATCAGGATATTTTCCAGTAACTGCGGGAATATTTTTAACTGCAATATAACTAAAATATCTTCTGACAGCTTTAGATTCATTTTCGGCGTATTTAATATTAAAATATTGAAGAACTTGTTTGATTATATTCGTTTTTTCATCTCTCGATGTTGATTTTTGGTATTTATCAGATTGTTCCCTGATAAATATTTTATTTTCGTCTGTAAAGTTTGCTCTTTTTTGATTAAATATAGATGATTTTCCCATTAAAAAATGAAATGATGCAAAATTTACGAAAACCGTTCGAAAATTGAATCAAAAATGAAAAGTAATACTTAAATGAGGAATTCTTTGAGATATTGGTCTTAGATTGAATGTAGCGTCATTCTTATATAGAATATATATTCATATCATCGGAAATATGATAAAAAGCATATAATAAATGTCAAAAAAGTGAACAAATAAGCAAAGATATTTTTTAAAAAACAATGAAAAGTAATACTTAAATGAGGAATTCTTTGAGATATTGGTCTTAGATTGAATGTAGCGTCATTCTTATATAGAATATATATTCATATCATCGGAAATATGATAAAAAGCATATAATAAATGTCAAAAAAGTGAACAAATAAGCAAAGATATTTTTTAAAAAACAATGAAAAGTAATACTTAAATGAGGAATTCTTTGAGATATTGGTCTTAGATTGAATGTAGCGTCACAAATTTCACAAATATAATTTACTATACAATTTTATTCATTTTTTTAAAATGGCTGACGACAGTCTGTATCAACTAACTCAACTAGTCAAGCATAATGATTATTCTTCGGATTCATTAAATCAACTTTATCAATGCATAAGTACAATGACAGAAAGATCAATTGGATGCTTGAATTGGGATAAATTTTTCAAAAAAATCACAGTGACTGATGAAGTTCTTTTACATTTTTTAGCATCCGTTTTAAACATTGAAAAGATATCAGAATGTTTCAAGGATTCTATTTTTTATCACAATATTAATCTTGAAAAATTCAGTAATTTAACTGAAACAGAACAACAAACAATTTTAAATTCCTACAAAGCGGATAAATTTACATATTACATAATGTGCTCACAAATTGTAAAATCAAACTGGAACAATTTATCCCAAACTTTAGTTAATATTGCAAATCAATATTTGCCATTTTTAGATGAAGAAAAGCAAATATATATATTTACTGAAATAACTGGCAATTATCAAAATTTTGAAATTTCAGTTGCAAACTTGTTACTTTTTTATGAAAACAATGAAGAAAAATTAAGCAACTGTTTTAATTTAACATTGTTCCAGCAAATTTATTCCAAAAATGGAATCGAGCAAATGATATTTTTTGCTGCAAATACAATTTGTTGCAATAACACTTCTATCAATTTTTACAATCTCCTTGAAATTGAAGAAATGAATCCATTTGATTTTTTTTATTTCTCAATTCAATATAAAGAGATATTAAATTGCGATGATTTTCCAAAAGTTACAGAAGTAATCACAGGTTTAATCTCAGCTTCAAATATTAATGCTATTATGCGAATTTGCCAAAAAATTTTGGATAAAATTACATTTTATAAATGTAATTATTGCCATATTACCTCAATATGGAATTTTATCACAAATGCAGCAATAATTCTTTCTGATGAAGATTTATTAATCAAATTATTAAAATTCATAGAAAAAACAGAAAAAGCAACAGATGAATTATTCGAACCGGAGAATGATTTGGGTTTCTATGAATATTTAAATTCGATTTTCTCAGATATTACATCTGCGAGAAATAAGCAATTTCTCTTGGAATTTCTAAATACCCATGAAGATGACTTCACTTATGATCAAACATTGTGAGGTCATTTTTGATCAACAAATTAATTGAAATTCCGATCAAAAAAAAACTCACAAATTGGATCAAAAAAATCGAATCTCAAGTTAAAAATAAAAAATTCTACATTTTTATCAAATTTAGATTTTTTTTCAAATCATGCAAATTGATTGGATAATTGCATATTTTATCCCATGCATCTAGAAGTATGTGTAATATTTTTGCTTTCATCAAGAAATTGTCGAATTTGATCTTAATTTTTTTTGAAAAATATACTTTTAGAAAAAGAAATAGTGATTGAATAGCTGCCCATGCTGTAAAAGGGTTATTTTTACAAGTAAAAAAAATTGTTATTTTTCGAGCAAGTCGAGGCTTTTTTACCATCTTATTTTTGAAAAATTTACGAAAAATTATATCTGAAAAAACGCTTCATTTTGATATCTTACAATGATAAAATACCAATGTTGCTGGGATATAATAGCTACACCTGGACATCTACTACATTAATGCGTATGACAGGTAAAGTTGATTTCAAAAGTATAGCCTGGAAAGATTACAATAAATCAACGATAATTCAAAAAAATTTCTTATAAGTTAACATAATAAAAATTTAATTTTTATATTGCTTGTATTATACTTAAGTATATAATATATTTAAATCTCAGAATGAAAATTCGGGACGCCCTAGCTATTCAATTTTCCCTTAGGACGCCCATAAACCTCTCAAAAATGTGATGTAAATATCACAATTTTGAGAAATTTACACTAGGACGCCTTAGGACGCCAACCCCTTTTTTACCGTTTTTTTTCTTAGTCAAAATAAAAATGTTATTTTATATCAAGTTTTTATTTATTGTTTTTGTTTTTAATTAAATTATTATTATGCTCATTTTCTTATTTTGATTTTTTCTCATTATGATATAAATAATTTATTAATGCATTTATCCAATAATTATGCTATGATATTTTTATGCCTTATTTCATTTCTCTTATATTTGATAATCTGGTAAAATATAGTTCAGACTATAATCATTTTAGATTATTGATATATTTATATAGGTTAGAATAAAATTAGTTTCATTTTCTACTTTTATTTTGAATTAATAATTTATAATATCAAATATTATGGCGTAATGAGTAGGGGTAATTTTAGCTAAAAGTAACACGCCTGTAAAAAGTGACACGCCTGTGAAGGGTGTGATTACCGATCGGTAATTTCGACAGTTTAGAATTTAAAATTTTTTATGGAACTGTTGCGAGTTTCATAAAGAATTTAAGGAATATAAGCAAAGATTTGAATCAAAATCTTAGACCTAAGCCGCTCGATTCGCTCGCGGCTTCCGCGAATTACAGATCAGCAAAGATTTGAATCAAAATCTTCGAACTAAGCCGATCGCTTCGCTCGCGGCTTTCTTTATTATTTTAAATTTGCATATTTCCATCAAAAGTTCATAAGGTAAAAAATTTCGTTTATATTATTGCAAAATAAAATCTTCATTATTAAGATAAGTACCTTAATATGTACGTAAATTTTAATGAAATTTATACAACATTATAAAAATTTATGAATAAAAACTTGATATAAAATAACATTTTTATTTTGACTAAGAAAAAAAAAAGGTTTTTGATAATAAATTTATTTTATTTCGAAAAAGTAGCAATAATCGTAAAAGGGTATTGATAGGCTTGCTAAAGTAACTAATTTTAGCTGTCAAATACTTTTGTATTTTGAAGTAAATTAGTATAAATTTGTTTTTACTTTTATTTCGAAAAAGTAGCAATAATCGTAAAAGGGTATTGATAGGCTTGCTAAAGTAACTAATTTTAGCTGTCAAATACTTTTGTATTTTGAAGTAAATTAGTATAAATTTGTTTTTACTTTTATTTCGAAAAAGTAACAATAATCGTAAAAGGGTATTGATAGGCTTGCTAAAGTAACTAATTTTAGCTGTCAAATACTTTTGTATTTTGAAGTAAATTAGTATAAATTTGATATTATTTTAACTCCCTTTGAAAACCTCAATTTTCCATACAGAGGGAACGGGAATAGCATCCAATATTCCCTGAGAATGGTTGCGCATTCTCAGTTCCCTCTATATTTCGAACGAAGCTCTCATCGGTCTTTTTTTAAATACTAAACGTTTTTTTCCCTGTCACTTTTAGCTAAAATTTGGGTTTGCCATGGCGTAACCTCTCCTTTAAAATATATATATATATAGGCCTATAGAGTTTATTGGCACTCTCAAAACTCTAGAATTTTGAGTTTACTATACCCTTAAATTAAATAAATTATAAAATACATGCAAAATGACAAATAATAAGATTTTATTGTTTATGCAAGAACGGTTTTACATTTTTCAAATGATTATTCAATCTATCGAATAATTTTAAAAACATGAAAAAATATGAACCCTGTTAATGATATATTAAACATTATTAGAGTCATAAAATAAAATAATATAAAAGTAACATTTTTGTAAGGCCCTCAATTAAATATGAAGAGCAAGCTTTGCCAAGATGTTTGCAAGAACTATATGAACGCAACATCTAGCGAACATGAACGTAAGATTGTTCGGAATGCTACCGCTCACTTAAGAGCAAACATGAAGCAAGATAATCCCGACGATTTACCTTATCAAGTGGCATCATTAATTTTTCTCTCTTTAAATGGAGCAAATGCTGACTTTGCTCAAATATATATTATTAATCTCGTTTCTTCTAACAGATTTAGCTATAAATTGATTGGCTACATGGCTGCTCAATTGCTTATAGACCAATTTCAAGATTTAGTCGTCTTGATGACCCAATCAATATTGAAAGATCTCGAAAGTCGTGACAAAAACGTCATAAACATTGTTTTGCATCTAATTGCAAATATTGGAAGTCCAGATTTATGTAAAAGCTGTGCAAAACAAGTCAAAAATCTCTTAAATTATAATCATCCACGCATTAAAAAGGCTGCTGGAGCTGCAGTATTGCATATTGTTAAGACATGTCCAGATTTGGCTTCAGAATTTACAATGCCACTGTTATCGATGTTCAATTTGAATGATCATAACATGCTCATGATAGGAAGCAAGCTTGCGTATGAAATATATCCACACATTCCTGAGAATGAGGATTATTGGTTGAATATCACTTACCAAGTTCTCAGATGTGCAACAACATTGTTGAAAACGAATAATACATCGAGCCCATATCATATTGCCGGCCTAGAAAATCCATTTTTACAGGCATCTTTACTCAAATGTCTTGAAAGGATTGCAAAGCCATCGATTGAATTGGACACATATCTCGTTGATGTTATACAGTCTGTTGAACTCAAGAGGGCTGTTGGAAGATCTCTTGTCGTTCAAGCAACAGAAGTTATTCAAAAAGTTGCCCAAAAAGAATCACTCAGAGCATTGGCAATAAACACAGTTGCGAAGATGCTCTACCTTGAATATCCAACTATCATTTATACAGCTCTTTCCGTGTTCTGTAAGATACTTTACAGAGGAAATGAAATCATCAACAGAAATTCAAGCTACACTCAAGCTCTTTCACGCCACAGAGCAAAGATCATCAGCTGCTTAGATCATCGTGATCCATTTATCAGAAGAAGAGCTCTTGAAGTTATAACTGCATTAGTCAACGGCGAAAATATCGAATCGCTGTTCCCAGAGATCATGAAATACGTACAATTCGCAGATTCAGACTTCAAATCTTCAATCATTTTCAAAATATTTTATCTTGTTCAGAATTTCGCTCCATCTCTTCATTGGAACATCGACGCTGTACTTGAGATCCTTCATAGTTGCGGAAACTACGTTTCAAATGAAATTATAAGCAAGTTTACGGAAAAAATCGGCAAAAATCAGAGACTCCAGGAATATGCTCTTCCTTTGTTGGAACAGTTGCTCCAAGATTATCCAGAGAACCAAGCAATCGTTCAGGTCGCCTCGTACTTGATCGGAGAGTTCAGTTACAATTTCAATGAAAATGTTCTTCCTACAATGGTAGCAATCGCAAAGATGCCGCAGACATCCCATGAAACAATCAATTATATACTTATTGCTATTGCCAAATACTCTTATCGCTTCCAAATTGTTGATGAATCAGTTTTTAATTTCTTCGAAAGTTTCACAAAGTCTGACAACATTGAAATCCAGCAGAGAACTGGAGAATTGATCAGAATCCTCAAGAATCCAGCTGCTAGTGACGAATTACTCGTTTCTATGGTTTATGATGAAGAAAAAGACCAAGCGATCACTCCTTACGCATCAGATCTCTCTGTTGTTCTTGAGCTGAACAAGATCAAATCAGCGCAGAGTACTTCTTCTGTTTTGATCTCGACTCAAGATTCAATTAAACAATTACTCGAAACTCCTGTTATAACTCCTCCACCAAGGTCAACAGAGGTTCTCCAGACAAATGATCTTGCGATTTACTTTGAAGTTTCAAAGAATCCTGTTAATAGACAACAATTTTGCATAAGATCTTCAATTTTCAATAAAACAAGCAAGCAACTAACTAATTTCAGGATCAAATACGGTGTTCCTACTGGATGGACTTCCTATTGCAAAGATAATGAAATTAAGAATTTGCATCCTTCTCCAGTTCCACTACAGAACCTCGTAATGATAGAGAGTAAGACAAATACTCCGTTGATCATGAAGGTTTTGCTTAGTTACAGCATAAACGGAGAAAATATTAATTCAATTGAAAATTTGAAGAATTTCAATCACCTTTTGTAAATAAATATATTTATTTTTCATTACTTATAATCATATTCATAGAATTTTATCTATGTGATGCTTATCTCAGATTTCCTATATGTTCCAAATGAGAGAAAACAAGGATATCGATAAGATATATGAGGAATCATGGAGCATTCAAATTTTACTCCAAATCAATACGCATGTTGCTTCAACTCTTAATGCTGAAAAGAAGGAAGTTATGTTTTCATTAATATCAATAATTCCATAATTAAACACAATTAAATCAGCAAAGTTTATTGAATGAAATACTCCTTTGAGTTTTGCATCAAGAAATGGTATCGTTGAAGTCGTGAAATACCTTATCTCTGCAGATGCTTATAAAGATACAAAAGAATATAAAGGTTACACTCATCTTATTTATGCATCAGAAAGTTGTCATTTTGTTGTTGTTAAATATCTCATTTCTTCAGGAGCTGATAAAGAGGTAAAGGATAATCTTATGGTAAACTCGAAGTTATTAATCAAATCATCTATTCTGCTTGAAATAGTGAAGCAAAAGATTGTAACAGATATACAACTCTCATTTGGGCATCTAACACAGCTGCAATATTTTTTTTACTATTTCAACGTATCTCAAAAAGAAATAAGTACTCAATCCACCAGATAGTTGTTGATAGCTTTCATTCGAAACAGGTTTCAAAAATCCAAATTCATTCCGAAAATTAAAAAGTAATGTCAGCTTTATGATGCTTTTTAATTATTTGCAATATTCTGTTCATCATTATGATTTCTTGTTGAAAAGGAAGAGCTCGAATTTCACGCGATAAAAAAGTAATACCCATCGAATCAACTCAAGAAATATAATGGTAAACTCTCCACAATAACAATTATATTGTCTGAAAGATGACAGAGTTTAACAAATTTACATTTAAAATGAAGGAAGCATTGTGAATAATTGAATTCATGTCCAAATTTAAAATGTATGTATTAGGCTATAATAGTATTCATGTGGATGGAAAGCATACAAGGTAATATTTAGAATATGAGTTATTTTTCTATTTAAGGGTTAGCCACTAAGAAATAATGAATTGACATCTTAATTTTATGTAATAATTTATTTGATTTTTTCTATCTTAATAACAATGAATGCCGTTTGGCTTCCATAATTTGTGTTTATCGAAATCATACTTATATTGAATTAAGATAGCAATAAATCAAATCATATCAAGATTAAAGCTAAAATATTGTTTGCTTCTGGCTCAAATTTTAATAAATATAATATGGATGTTAAGAAAGTTGTTAGAAATTCATTGTTAAATTAATTTTCTAAAAAATAAAAACAATAATTATTACTGTTATGATAATCAATGAGAATATTGAAATTGTGATGGCCATTTATATCAATAAATCCGAAATACTTCATTTCCGAATTATTTATTGAATAAACTGAATATTGAAACAACAAACAAGAATATTTTATTATTTAATATATGTGGGATACTGTTTACAAATTTATTTCATTTTTTTAAAAAATTTCTAGAAATCGAGTGTATATGAAGAAATTTTTTAATGTTTTAAGATGGGATATGTACCCTTATTGCATATCCAAGATTAATTTTCGAAAAACATGTTTTGCGTGGTTAATTTTTTTGAATACTTTTGAATACCTTAAATAAAATGATATTTGCATGATAACCATAGTAGTAACTAAATACTTAAATTTGATGTTTTATAATTTCTGAATTCCATAAAAAATTATAATTTTTCAAATTTTTATCAGATATTTTTAGCATTAAATTACTTAAATCTTCAATTGTTGTATTTTTAATCGGATTTAATGATTAATTTAAAATATTTCAATTGATTCCACATTCTAAATTTTTGCTACACAGAATGTTAACTTTTAAATTAATAAATTTTACCTTGAAGTTTTAGAAATAATTGACATACGTCTATTGAAATTCCAACCGAAAAATTGCTTCAATAATAAAATTTCAAGATTCAAAATTTGAAAACTATTCAAATATTGTTTGCAATACAAATTTTTTTAATTACAAACAAAATAATCAATTAAAAACAAAAATTATCATATTATGCATAAATTACTTGTTTGATCGGCTGTAACGGTCTTTGAATAGGAACCGATTTTCTTTGGAACGTTTTTCCTTTTTCGTGAATAATCGATGATAATGCTAAATTAAAGTTTTCTTGACCGTATTTTTGTACAACTTCATTAATCCATACTGATGTAATTTCCGAAAGATTTCCCTGACCTATAGAGTCTTGAGCAGCTGCAGCTGCAGCAACTTCTGGTGCAATATCTAAATAATATTTAGAAGATATTACTAAGCACATATCGACTATTACACCATTGCATATTTTTATAAAATTTTCATTTGGAATTAATGCTTGAATATTTGATTTCCATCTTTCAAAATAGGTAAAAGGTAACTCAAAATTAACATTAAAATCTAATGCTTTGAGAAGATCTATTTCTGCTTGTGTAATTTCTTCTATTTGTTCTGGTGATAAAAGTCCTTGATTATCAAAATTTTCTTGTCCGATAAGCGATCGAACCATTGAAGAGGGAGCTGATTTACATATTCTAACTAACTCATTATAAATCATTTCAATTGTTCGAAAACAATTTTGTGATTTACATGAAGTAAACAAAGCTGCTGTCATTAAGATAAACAATTTATAAGGACAATATTCGTTAACTCTGAAATACTTCTGTAAAATGATAAATGCTGTTGCAATAACTGGAGATAATTCAACCTTGAGCCCCATCCTAGATTTGGAAATAAGAGTCCATACGGTCCTTCTCTGTTCATCACTCCACGTTGTATGAATAGAAGAAAAATCAGTGTGACTATGATGAACAGAGCTTGGTAACATTTGAAAAATCAGCGTATAAATTGAGAAGAATATAATTTTTATTCAGAGGATTATTAGAATTATAATTTTATCAGCATATAACATAGATTCAAAACAAAAGTAACATCAATTTTAAAATGAATGAGGCATTGAAATTATTGAAGATGCTTTTCAATGATCCCACCATTTATAAAATTGACAATGACAAAAAATTCCTTTAAAATGAATGTACTTGTTATTATAATCAACACTTCAATAACTTCACATTTGAAAAGCATCAGTTTCAATTTTAATATTTTCTTAATTTCAACCAATAGAACGTAGAAAATACCGACTTTCGAAAATTCAATGGCATAAAAAATTCAAAAATTAAAAAAACCTCCCATTCAATTTATTATTGGAATGGCAATATAAAACTAAGGGCTTTGAATTACCGAACATGAAAACAATAATCCGCTTGCAAATAATGTATAAATCAATTTCCATATGTTCATTTCTCATATATTCCATTTTTTATATCATTTTTTAAGACATTTAGGATTACATTTTCATAAAACTAAAAGAGCAATTACGATTATTAGCTTAACATTACTATTTCTATTGTCTCGTAAAATATTTAATATATTTTCCTAATATTTTGAACAATATCAATGAACGCATTGCTTTCTTTCTTGATACTTTAAAAATAAAAACAGGAATCCGGTTTCAAATACATAAAAATTATTTTCAATAAAAAAAAATATTGGAAAGTTAAACTCTAAAACAAAGAACAATTATTGGGAATTACATTAAAAAACCGAGATATTGAATATAATACATTTTATTAAACAATATACTTAGAAATAAGTTCTTTCAATGCTTCAAAACCGCTTTCCAATTCCTGTTGCATTGAAATGAACATAGGATTCTGTCTTATATATTCCGCGTGAATTTTAAGTGCTTTTTGGTTGATTTCGAGGAAATCTGCAAAAGCTTTCTTTAATTTTAAGCTTGTTTTCTCATCAATCTCTGCCTGACCGCCCAAGAATACCTCAGCAATCCTCTTTGGCCCAACATTTACTTGTACAAGAAGATTTCCGTTCAACATTTGTTGAATTCCCGATGTATTCTTTGTTTCGATCAACGAAACCATTTCATATGTCCTGTCCTTGATCATTCTCAGCGAAACTTTGGCCGGATTGTACTCTTTCGTTGAAAATGAAATAATTTGTTGTCTTTTGAGGATATAAGGCATTGGATGCTCGAGTTCGAAGATGGCTCGTCTCCTACATTGTTTGTCTATTGGTCCTTGAGCTTCATTTGACCCAATTACGTAAGGAGTGTCGAAATAAAACAATTTGTTGTTCATTTTCTCTTCGAACTGCGATGTTCTCAACTTCCTCTCTTCTTTGGTAATGTACGGATCAACGGAAGTGATCTGGATGTATCCAATTCCGGAATTTAATTTCGATTCATCGACTTTTGATGATTCCTGGATGATTTCGAACTTCTTTCCTGGATGAACATTAGTTAAATCTTGTATTATTCGCTTAGAGAAATTGAAAACGTTAGTAAGTTCTTTTTCTCTGTAAATATAAGATTTTTTATCATCATCCTTGAAAACATCACCGAAGAAGTTGACTCTGTAGTACTTACCAAGCAATCTCTCCTGATCCTTTGCGATTCCTGCCACTGCAACTGCTGAATTTGAGATATTTCCCAAAGTCTGAGACATGAACGAGTAATCAGAGTTATACTGCATGAATGGGATGACGATGCCAATCAGGTCTATAGTGATTTCATGGTACTCTTTCTCTTGACTATAATTTATCATTTTGATAATACAGTCAATAATGACCGGAAAGTGGAAATACTTGGAGTCACAAAATCCAGGGACGTCGGGAAGGTCCTTTAAAATGTTATCCGGACATTTCAAGGCTTTCGCAAACGGACAAATGTGGGTTAGAGCAATTGCCTGTGAATCGCAGCCGAATATCTTATCGATACGGCCAAGGAGAGTATTGTACTCGAAGACAACAGCGAGCATTGCGATGTTACACATAACAAATTCCAAATAATATCCGTAGAGTGCAGAAGTACTGGCAATTTCCTGGAGAATTTCACAGACAACATCGGGAGAATGCTGGAAAAGCAGCAGTTTGTTGTAAATCACTTCAGCTAATAATTCTATATTATTATGATAGTTATCTTGCATTTTGAGGAGCTTCTGGTACTTGAAGATTATTGTTCTTGCGAAACATTGGTTCAAAACTATCTCTGTAACAACAAAAAGTGGCAATTTGTAAATAACTCTTTCTACAAGCATCAAACTCCTGTTTGTTGATCCGTAAGTGGCTTTATCGACCTGCTCAAGTGTATCGAAGAAGATATTGCCTGATTCCGTGAATCTGGACAATTCCAAAATTTTCATTATGAATTTTGCCAAAGGAACCTTCTTATTTTCGAAGATTTCCTTGGGATAGAGCTTGATGAACTCCACGAGAAGCAAAACTAAGTCTTCGACCAAATTTATTACTAAATTTGACGAAAAAAGCTGGTAAATGATCAAACTGCACTCTTCAACGTATCCTTCCTCGAAAATGAACTTCCCCATGAACCGAATTACGTTCGTTTGGGCGGAAAAAGCTCTTTCTCTGAATAAACTGAAAGATTTCTTATACAAAAGCTCTTTTTCGGTCTTGCAGTGCATATGGGAGAATCTGTTCTGTTGGGAATCATTCGCTTTTCCTGAATAACTCAAGAAATCGAGAGATTTCATAATTGCCTTGAAGAAACTCGACTTTGACTCTGCTGTCCTGATGTATTGCCTTATATGGTCTGGATCAACAATGCCAACAATGTAAATAAACGTTGTTACGTATGGACTTTCTTCATTCGCTGTATTTCCAAGGACAAGAGAGGGAACGAAGTCGAGAATTGGCAGGATATGGGTACATACAGCCATGGAGATCGATGTAGGAAGGCACGCAATGTTGTAATTCAAAATTGAAAAAATTTTATCCAATTCAGTGAAGTTTTGAGCGACCAAACAACGTTCTATCTGGTCTATCAGGAACTCAGGGAAATGTTTGATGTGGAGAAGAGCCGTTGCGATCACTTTTGGCTGAAGTGAAGATTTCAGAATGAAAAGTGAGGATTTGAGGTCTATTTTTGTGTCTCCGAACGCTTTGACTTGGGCTTCTATTGAATCTATGGCCGCTGTGTAGAATCCGATGTCGAAAAGATTCAATACGAATAATGAAAAAGTTTTGAGCGACTGGATTGACAATTGGTGATTGGATTTGTTGAGAACAACTATAGACTTTGTGAAAGCGTCTATAAACATGTTGATTTCTTGGTGGAAATCACGATCTTTTGTGATATAAATTGATTTAATGAGCAAAACAAAGAAGAAATTCATTAGAGGTGCATCTCTTCCTATTCCATTCTTACAAGCTTCATGTTCCTTATGAATAAAGTGTTCCCACGTTGTTAAAAGTGAAACATGAAAATCATGAGTCGAATTACCATTTTTCATGAAGGAAAAAACGACGGAGAACACATCCAAGAATTTATCAAATGCCTTTGGACATAGATCCGTTGCAATATCAGCGATATAAAGTAAGATATCGAAAATATCTTTTGGAGCTTCCGTAAAATTCGAAATAAGTATATCAAAGATCTGTAACGAACTTCTTAACAACGCTTTTGGCTCGACTTTCCGAAATTCCTCAAGAATGAAAGATTTATTTTGAATTGACTTGTAAACTCTTATTAATTCGGGGGATTTCGGAAGTAGATTGGATCTTCTGGTCGTCATGATCTTGCAGAACAAAGAAGAGCCATTTCTGAGACTTTGTGGATTATTTGAATTTATTTCGTTGATTGCGAGCTCAAACTTACCTCCTTTAAGAGCTACTTGTTCACCATGCTTATCCATGAGATGAATATACGAATAGCCAATCTTTTCTTCAACAAATTTGTCACCTTTTCTCGAAATTGCGACAAAAGTAAAGACAACGATTGAACCATTCTCAACTCTTTGCGGGAGATCGATAATGAACGTTTCTCTGAACGCTACTTTCTTGTGAGCGGGACATGCGATTCCTTTTGCGCAATCCACGTGTTTTTGAGAGAATCTGTCCTTGATTAATGGCATTCCGTCGCTTTCAAGGTCTTTCTTAAGCTCCACGGTCACGTAAACGGCTTCAGTTTTCCAATTTGGTAATTTTACGGTTGCTGAGGTCATTTCAACGAGCAAGGAGTGACTGAAGTTAAGTATAGGCTCTGTTATTGAGTAATTCATCGATCCAAGGAGGTTATTTGACTGTATTACGGTGGAATCATCGATTTCTCTTGCAGATATCTTTATTTTGATGGTAAGACCCAGTTTATCTTCCGCAGGATATTTGATACCGCCTTGTACAATGCTTTGAAGCATCTTTTCTGTAACAGTTTCGGATGAAATGAAAGGTGGTGGTAATAAGTCGTTTTCTAGTAATGTTGGAAGCGAAACTATGTAGTATCCGAGTTGACAATAGTTATTAATGTTCGAGTTCTTCGATTTATTGATTGTTGCTTGAGCTTCTTCGATTGATGTTGAATTCTTTTCATATGCTGATAAAACGGTTGTACCATTCTTCTGAGAGTAAGGGTGGTATGCGATAATCACTAAAGATAGTCGATCCGAAACTTCATTTAACCGATAGACGATTTTCGTATTTTCTAAAACTTTAGTATCACTAACACGAAGAATTTCTGCGCATGGCAAAGGCACAAAATTCCATGGTTCCGATACAATTTGTTGACCGCTGAACATAAATCCAGTAAATAAAAGAGGTTCAAAGAGATCTTGGTTAGAAAGGAATTCTGAAACAGTGAACTCAAAGTACGATGATGTCTTCCGTTGTATCGCCGCTCCTAAATTGATTGGGTTTTCTATAACATTAATCTTTTTTCCAGTCCAATACGATTGCAGTATAGGGCATGCGACTGTTTTGGTCATTAGTATGGCGCTGTTTAGTCTGCAATCTGATAAAAACGTAATTGGACGAGGAGGAATCGGAGTAAATTTTGTGACGGAACAGTCTGTGAATTTCATTTCAAATGTTTGATTAGTGTATAAGTCAACAATCCAGTTTTCTTCGTATGACGGTAGTTGCTTAAAACTGTTTGCATAATCGGAATAAAATGGATTTTTCGTTCGACTGCAGCTAACAACAAAAGGTTCTGTCCAATCAGACTCATCGTTGTCCTGATGCTGAGATTTGAGCCAGTCATCGATGATTTTGTCAGCATCCCAGGACAGCGACATAAATCAATTGAAGAATTTTTTTTCAGAACTTCTGACAAAAAATAAAACTGCTTACAGATATACAGATTAATCAAAATTTAATTAGAGAAAATCGTCAAAAATTGAATCTGACATTTTCAATACCTACAGGCGCGTAGGCTCTGAATATTTGACTATGATCTCCTTGTTGGGAGGAACAAGTGCTTTTATATAATGCCAACTATATGGAATGGCAACCACCAAAATTTCATTGATATTTCCATTAATCAATCTTTGAAGAATTATTTGAGCATGTTTTCTCCTAGGATAAATGTACTTACAAGATACAATCAGAATAACAGATGGCCCTATTAGAATAGGAATTTTTATGCTTAATTTGATTCAATTTCGAAAGTGAAACAATTTGGTGACAAGCGCAATCCAATATTAAAAAAAAAAAAAAAAAAAGGTAGTGGGGCTTCCAGGCACTTCGTGCCCTCTAGCCCCGAAGATGTTTAGTATAAATGAAGTTTTTATTCGGAAAATTGTTAGTCTTCTGGTGTGAATTCGGAGGACTCTTCTTCTTCCTCCATTGCTTCTGGGAAGAAGCCTTCTTCTGGGTCGAAAACATTATATAATGTGTCGCTTTTCACAAATTATATATGTTTTCATGCTTTGTCACTTTTCTGTCACTTTTCAGGAAAAAACATTTTTATTATTATATATAAATGAATTTTACAAAACCACCGTTACCGTTCTTTGGAAATAAGAGTAGATGTAAAGATATTATATTGAGAGAACTTAAGAAACTACCGAATGGTCTAACATTTGTAGATTTGTTCGGTGGAAGTTTCTATATATCCCATTTGTGCCATACAATATTCCCAGACTCAAAGATTATATGCAATGACTTCGACAACTATATGGACCGTCTCAAACATATTCCAGACACAAACAAAATATTGAAAGAGTTAAAAGAAAAGATACCTATAGGTAAGATGGAACGTATACCATTAGATAAGAAAAATATTGTGAGAGAGGTTTTGAAAAAAGCAGAATATATAGACTGGGATAGTATATCTGCTAGACTATTATATAGTGGTGCTATAAGAGTTCATGACATTGAAACACTTATGTCAAAAGTTTTATATCTTAACTATACAAATGTTTTCAAAGAGGACATAGAAAAATATATTGAGGGTATAGAGTTTGTGAGATGTCATTGGACAGAGTTGTATGAAAAATATAAAGACAAGGAAAATGTTTTCTTTATAGTGGACCCACCGTTCTATAACACATGGGATTTTCAATACCAAGTAGACTGGACTTTGAGAGACTCTTTAGAAACTTTAGACGTTATACATAACCATCCATGCTTTTACTTTACATCCGATAAAAGTGGTTTGGAAACCGTTATGAGATGGTTAGAGGACATACATGACTATGAGTTTAGATATGACAAGATAGAATATGAGAGAGGTCCTATAAACCGGAGAAAGTGTCATAACAAAGAAATTTTATTAGTAAGTAAATGTGGTTTGAAATAGGACTACTTGTTTTAGGTTTTTTCCATTGTGTCATTTATTTATTTGACGTGGCAGAAAAGTACAGAGAATATGAAGATGAACCAATGCCTGCAAATGTTCAGTATATGTACTCGTAAGAGATATTTTTATCTAATATTAAATGGACGCACAGAACTTAGCGAATGCACAGCAACCTGGACAACCAAACCCAGAGAATATTCCAAATGAAGTTAGAATACAAACTGCAATGGCAAACTATGGTCAAGTGCCAACAGATGTACAAATGCAAACTGCCATGTCAAATGACGCTGCGTTAGGTTTGCCACCATGGTATGCAAATATGAGATGGAAAGAGTTTTATACAAACCCTGAAGTGGGATATAAACAACTTTATGCAGATGACGCGAACACAGGAGTTGACCCAGAATATGTTTTCTACCAGAGGAGAAACAGAATGTATGAGCTCCAGTTAAAGAATGCTATGGAACTCAACAGGAAACGTAAGAGACTAGGCGGACATTAGATTTTTACATATAGTAAAATGGGTTTCTTCAGTAAGATAGGAAACTTCTTTCGAAATGTTGGAAGAGGTATATGGAATGGAATAAAAACCGTAGGAAGAGGAATTTGGAACGGAGTCAAAAATATTGGTAAAAGGGTAGGTCAGTTTGTTGGTATTATACCTAAAGACCCTGAACCAGAAGAGCAAGCTCCTGTTATACAACAGCCTGAACCTGCACCACAGTCTAGTTGGCAACCAAATCCAACACCTCAACCGTATTAAAAAATTATATTTTTACCGTTCGATAGTAGTTGTATATGAAACTAAGTTCTAAGTAAAACGCATGGTATAATGGAATTATTCTTTTTCTTCCATCTGTAGTAAACCATACTTGAAAGTCTGAAATACTTCCACTTGGTGGTTCGTATAACTTTGTAGGTTTTTCGTAAAAGTCATTCATCAGACATAAGAAAGAGTTTTGCGCACCAGAAAATGAAGCATGAACAATAATAGCATCTGGGTCGAAAATATTTTCATATGTTCCATTAGGGTTTTCGACTTCATAAAAGTCTGGGTGTACTGGATATGCTGCAGGCTGATTTAACATCCTCATAAATCTATACCATGCCAAGTTGTTATATTTTGTAGAAATATAAACGTTTTCTCCAAGGTCTTCTATTCTATTGATTTTAACAGTTGCATTTTTCCTGTCATAAATAATATCGAGATGGTATTCTCCTTCGTCAATGTTATACTGTTTTGCATATTCGATATAGATATCGTTTATTTTTTCTTGAAAAGCTTGAAGAGTTGTTTCTAAGTTTACAAGCAAACTAACTTGTAAAAGTTTTCCCTGTTCAAATTTCTCATACATACGTTTTTCTTTGTTATAGTATCGAACTTCAAAACCGACCGTAAATGGGAAACCATGTATGGCTTCTGAAATGAACTTCATTCTACGAAAGCCAATAGCTTTTGTGACAGATGGGTCTCTTAACCATCTTAATGGGTAGTCAAAACGATAGCCTTCATGCTTTACGGTCTCTGTCTCAAACTTTTGACCGACATTAGTAAAAAGTTCATCTAATGGTTTAGTTGTAGCAACTCTTGAATTTTCTTTTTCTATTGAAAGCATATTTTATCTAGAATAAAAATGTCGAAAGATATTGCTTCCATGAGAGAAATACAACACAACCGACAACTCATTATGCAAGCTCTAAATAAGAACACAACAAACTTTTCAAACTATTCTAAGATATCTGAGTCATTGAAAGAAGGAAACTTAAAACTGACAATAAACCCAATGACAGATGAGTTTCTGTTTCAAGACAATAAGAACCATACTGTCTGTATAAATCCAACAAAAGGAACTTTAAACGAGAAACCTATAAATGAACTTCTTTTGAAAACAGATGTTGACAACAAAGCTGACAAAGAATATGTAGACGATGCAATAGCAAAAGAAGAAGAAAGAGCTAACAATGCTTATGCAACAAAAGAACATACTCATCCTGAACTAGCAGACAAAACATATGTTGACAATAAAATGTCAAGTGAAGTGACAAGAGCTGAAAACGAATATTCTAAAAAGACTCATATACATTCTATATCTGAAATAACAGACTTACAAGAAACCTTAAACAGGAAAAGTGACGTTGGACATACACATACCATTGCAAATATTACAAACTTACAAGAAACCTTAAACAGGAAAAGTGACGTTGGACATACACATACCATTGCAAATATTACAAACTTACAAGAAACCTTAAACAGGAAAAGTGACGTTGGACATACACATACCATTGCAAATATTACAAACTTACAAGAAACCTTAAACAGGAAAAGTGCCGTTGGACATACACATACATCTTCTGAAATAACAGACTTAAACGTTAGCCTTGAAAAGAAAGCAGATAAAACATATGTCAATGAAATATACCAAAGTTTGATAGGAACAACAAAAAATATTGAAACTATTGTTGGTGACTTTTCTGTCAATGAAGAAAATAAATATTTTAGATGACAGTTTGTACAGTCCTTAAGAAATGGTATACGGTATAAACTCATTCCGAAAAATAACAATGAAATGTATGTAAGCTATATAAAGAATGATGGTACACAAGTTAAAGTTCCATTAGACAACAACTGCTACTTAAACTTATATGGAGACGAACAAAAGAAATATTTCCGAGTTTATGAAATGGCAGATATGACATTGCCTGACCCAGCTCCAGCACCATATTATTATGACTATGTAGATGACGAAGGAACACTACATGCAGATGAACAAAAGCAAACATTATATTTAGATTATTATAGATATAAAAGATATAATGCAATAGAAAAAACGAGAATAGTATATTATTATATAGATGACAGAAATAAATATTATAGTCAAGATTTTACCTACCCTGAAAACATAAGATTATATTATAAAAAATATTCTTACACAAACCAGAAGAAACCTGAAATAGTTGCACTATATTTTAAGTTCAAAAGAGACAATCCTATAATGTCTCATATGTTTGATTTAATGAACCCAGTAGGTTCTATTTATACATCTATGGAAGCAAGAGGTCCTCAAGTAATGTTTGGTGTTGGTGCATGGGAACAAATAGTCGACAGGTTTTTGTATTGTGCAAACTCTTCAAAGGAAACAGGTGGTTCGAAGAAAATTAAAGAAGCAAACCTTCCACCGCACACTCATACAGGAACTACAAACTTTTCTGGCGACCATAGCCACTCATTAAGAGACCACCCATTATACAACTCAGAATATTATGCTGGCAATGACGTTTTATCTCCAGATTATAACCATTCAGCAAAAAAGACTTTTCGACCAACTGAACCAGGAGGAAATCATGTCCATACTTTCACAACAAATCCAACAGGCTTGGGTAAAGACTACATGCCACCTTACATGACAGTTTACGCATGGTATAGAATTGCTTAGTCGTCATTTTCAACTTCTTTAGCATATTCGTCAGGAGTTGTCTTATATTTGTTAGGAACTGTCTTTGAAAGTATACCACCTTGAACTTTGACAAGTTTGAAACGAGGTCTGACAATAGTAGTTTTATCTTCTGCTTGCAGTGTGTACATTTTGCCATGTTTGCCTAAAACTTCATAATATTCTCTTGTATACTTTCTTCTATTTTTACGAACACGAATGTGAGTACCTGTCGGGTTCCCATTGTTGTCATAGTCAATAGTATTTTCATATGGGTCGCGTTTAGGTATTTCTATTTTTACTTTGTCGCCTTTCTTAAGTTTGAAGCCCGGCATTCTTTCTTGTTTGTCTCTTTTGACTAAATTATTAAATATATAGTCTTTCTCTAAGTCAGGGTTGTTTTTCATTTCTTCAGGGGAGTGGTTTCCCAAACCTTTTTGTTTACGGCTATTGTAAATATTTAAAACTTGTCTCATCTTTGCCATGGAGAAGTGTCTATATTTGTCGTCATATGACATTTCATTTGCTTCACCACCTTGTGGTTGGTTTAAGTCTCTTAACATTTTTATACAACCGTCAATGACACCAAGAGCAGAATGGTTTTGGTCGACAATGAAATATTGGTTTACATTTTTTGAACGCAGATAGTTTTTTACATCATCTGATTTGAAAGAACTTTCACAGTCAGATGTCAGTTTTGTTGGATGGTATTTGTCAACGAATATTGTCAAAGCAGTTTTCACATCTAAAATATTTTTGGACCATAATGGTATGGCTTCACAGTATCTTGTGTTTTGACCGACAAATATTAGCCAGTATGGTGGTCCATCTGTTCTAACTCTCGGAATGTTTTCCAAGATATCCATAAACCAAGCATTTGGTGTTGAACTAAAGATTTTTATCATGAGTGCTTTCTTTGTCGCTTTAGAAACATAGGGGTCCTTGTTTGGATTCGTCATTTTTATCCTATAAGAAATGGGTTTATTTGGCGCATTAGCAGGAGTTGCATCCAGATTTTTGCCCGCAGTGGGAACAATAGCCAGAGGTGTATTTGGAGTTGGAAGGAAGATTTTGAGTACATTAGGTATACTTAAAGAGAAAGCACAACCTATTATACAAACTGTACAGAAAGGTTGGGATGTAGCACGAGATGCAACAAATCTTATTCCAAATCCTGAAACAAGAGGAAAAGTTCAAGGATGGATGGACAATGTAGGAAGACAAGCAGGAAACTATTATAACAAAGCAAATGACTACTATAACCAAGCAGGACACTATATGGACCAAGGTGAAAGATTCTTTAACAGAGGATATAACCATGCACAACAGTGGGTAAACAATAACCAACCTCAACCGCCTCAAACGTGGGGAATGTAAAGTTTTTTACTGAGATGAAATGAACAATACAGCATTGAGACAAATGGGTTCAAGATGGATTTGTCGGCTTCCAGCAGTTACACAACGTGTTTGTCAAGTTCTTCCTATACCTCAGGAAGTTTTAGACCGACTTAAAAAACAACAACAACCAGTTGAAAACAAACCAAACTAAAATTTTTTACTGAGATGAAATGACCGAAGAAGTTGAAACGGTAGATTTGACACCACAAACAAAAAGTTCAGAACCATTGTCAAAACCTGTCAAAGAACTTACAGATGAAGAGAAAAATTCAATAATAGAAAGTGCCAGGTCTGGAAATACAAACCCTAACTACAAAGTCACTTTTCATAAAAATGGAACGGCAAGTATCTCAAAAAAGAAACAGACTCTCACAAATAAAATATTGAAGTCTGAAGGAGCTTTCGAGACAACAGATGGAAAAGTTTACTTCACTGACCAACAGTTCATTATAGAACATCTCATTGACTTAGAGTCGAAATATTCTAAACTTTACAACAAACACAAAAAGTTGAAAGGAAAACAAAAACAAATGGCATATGATATTTATGAAGATGTTGACGACACAACTGTTCCTGCAAGTGAAGTAAAGTCAGAGAAACCGAAAAGTGACGAAAAACCGATAGAAGAAGAAAAACCAAAAACTGAAGATAAACCAAAACCAAAGTTTAGTTTGGAAACTAAACCAAGTCAACCTTCATTAGCTGGTATGGGTTGGCGTCAAAGACTTATGGCAGCAGGCGGTTATGTAAAGTAAAGAAAAAAACATTTTTTTTCTTTTTATAAAAATGCCCCCATATAGAATGGATAGAAAGTCTGCTAGAATAAAAGCAGAGTCTGCTAGAATAAAAGCAGAGTTGGGAAACTTGTTTGTTAGATGAGAAATATGAAATGGCATACCATTTTAAAACAATATATTTTTACATATATTAAATGCTTCAGGCTGAAAAACAAAGAACAAAAGTAGCAGATACAAAACCGTTAGACTATATCTTTACAAATGCTGGTAGGACTATTTCAGATGAAGAAATTTCATCCCGAGTATACAGGTTTGACTATCCAATTCGTTGGCTTCAAAGTCCTTCAGATGCAAAGGCAATAGGATTTAGAAGAGTTTTGTTTTCAAATAGAACTAACGCATTTATGTTCGCAGTATATTTTCATGGGCAGTATAAAGGTTCTGATGGTCTAATAGACAAATTTGACGAAATGAGAATCTTTACAGTTCGTTCAGACGAAAGTCTTGAGAAAACTCTAAATGACTTTCAAACTCAAATGAACAAATATTATTGGGAATTTCAAGAAAAATACGACTCTTTACTAAATGGAACATACTATCTGAAACTAGAATATGACAAGATGAACTCCACCGTTTCATTTCAAAAGATTGAAATTAACCCTCCAAGAGATACAGAGTTTTTATTTTGGAAAGTAGACAAACGTTCTTGGGCACAATTTCTTCGGTTACTAAACCAGAACGAACCATTACCACCAGATGGTCCATTTCAATTTATACTTCCACCAGCAGATTTGACAGTTTATAGAAACGTGTTTGACCCTCAAAATGTTATGTGTCATGCAAGTTTCAGTTCAAGCAACAATAGTTTTCTATGTATTGGTAAGGACTTTTATGACTTTGCTTCTAAATTCTACGAACCACCTAGTAACAGTTTCTCTGACTTTCAAGTTTGGTTCACAACAAATGGTGTGCAACATATTATTCCATTGTACTATGACTTTTATCTCGAATTGTCTTTCATATATAACTACGGAAAAGTGCTGAAAAAGTATTGAATGTGAAGATATTAGAAAATAACATTTTTTCTAACATCGTAGAAAACTCATGAAAACAATTTATTTTTGACACTTTCACAAAAAACATAAAAAAGTGCAGTTAAACGTTAAGGTTTACTGAACTGGTTGGATGTCGCCTTCACAGGTTATGTAGAATGGTTGTCCTGAGAAGCGAAGGAGAGACTGAATTGCCAATTTCATATGGGGTAGGGGGTTCTCCTTGTTTGGTATTTTTATCCAAGGACGTTTGTTTAGGAACTTTATAATGGCTTCCTTCTTTGCTTGCTTTATGTCGTCGTAGGCTGTCCCGTCTGGTATTTGAATTGGAATTTCGGTCGAAGTCTCGAGATTCAAGACAGCCCTTCCAGAAATAGTGGTGAACTTGACCTTGGGCTTCATGACCTTGCGCAAGTAGTCTTTTACGCAGTCGTTTATTTAAATTAGGTAAACTGCCTCGTCAAATCCTTCTGGCATTCCGAGTCCTTCCATCCGACAGGAAAATATTTTCCCGACAACTGGAAAAAATTTTCCTTCCGACAGAAAAAGTTTTTCCTTCCGACAGAAAAAGTTTTTCCAGTTGTCCGTCCGTAAACCATTCAAATTTTCGAAAATTGAGAACTTTTTGGTCGAACTTCAGAAAAAGTTTTTCCTTCCAACAGAAAAAGTTTTTCCTTCCAACAGAAAATGTTTTTCCTTCCGACAGAAAATGTTTTTCCTTCCAACAGGAAAAGTTTTTCCTTCCAACAGGAAAAGTTCTTCCTTCTGACAGGACACAAACGAATGTCCCACGTCCCACCAACCCAGTCCATTCCCAAACCAGAGGAACCTAAAGAACCACAACAGTCTCCTCAGCAACCTCAGTTCCAGCAAGTACCTCCACCAAATTACTACCAATTTCCACTTCAAGGTTACTACCCACCACAAGGCTTCCCGAACTACCCTCCTCTGCCTATGCCTTACTTCCCCAACCCTTGGATGTTCCAGCAAGCTCCACCCCAGCAATTCCAATCTCAATCCAAATCGAAGAGAGACCAAGAGTTCGAAGAAGGTCTGAACCGTTTACGCAAAGAGTATGCCACAGCTCCAATTGAGAGAAAGTTGTTCCCGGACCAAAAATATAATTTAGGGTAGAAGGTTAGATCTAACCTGTTTTCTAACCTGTTTTCTACCCTCTTGAATTTGTCAAGACTTCTTCGTAAATGTTTTGTCATGACTTCTTCGTAAATGTTTTGTCATGATTTCATCGTAAATGTTTTGTCAAGACTTCTTCGTAAATGTTTTGTCAAGACTTCTTCGTAAATGTTTTGTCAAGACTTCTTCGTAAATGTTTTGTCAAGACTTCTTCGTAAATGTTTTGTCATGACTTCTTCGTAAATGTTTTGTCATGACTTCTTCGTAATGAGTGTAAAGGACCCAAAAATATAATTTAGGGTAGAAGGTTTGATCTAACCTGTTTTCTAACCTGTTTTCTACCCTCTTGAATTTTCATGAATTTCCTTAAGATAGAAAAAAATATAATTTAGTTTTATTTTGTATTTTTTTGTATGTAAGATATGATTTCAGGGATTTTTTTGACGAAGTGTCAACCTTCACTTCGTCAAAAAATAACAGTTATCTAATGAAAAAGTGTCATTTTATTTTTTTATTTTGTATGTAAGATATGATTTCAGGGAGTTTTTTGACGAAGTGTCAATGTTCACTTCGTCAAAAAATAACAGTTATCTAATGAAAAAGTGTCATTTTTTTTGTATTTGACGAGAATGTCGGGTAAATGTTTTGTCAAGACTTCTTCGTATATGTTTTGTCATGATTTCATCGTACATGTTTTGTCAAGACTTCTTCATCGTAATGAGCGTAAATGTTTTGTGAAGAATATAGCAACAGTCTGAATTCCGACGGTTGCTTTTTATACAAAATTCATGCAGGAAATTCTTGAGTTTTGGTTGAAAGAATACGGTGGAGCCAAAAGTGGCTCGACCTCAAAACAAGCATTTTATGAGCTTACTAAGGGTGTTATGAATGAATTCAAATGTATTTACATACATCCTGACCTCGTTCATTTTGTTGCTGAATTCAGCAAAAATAATGTTTAGGGTAGAAGGTTAGATCTAACCTGTTTTCTAACCTGTTTTCTACCCTCTTGAATTTGTCATGAATTTCCTTAAGACAGAAAAAATAAAGTTAGTTTTATTTTTATTTATTTTTTTATTTTGTATGTAAGAACATATATGACAAACATTGAGTTTGAAACAGTTAAAAAGATAGACAATGACACCAAATTGGTTAGAATAGGTGATTTAAACGTAAGATACTCAAAGAAATACAACAAATATTCTTTGTCAGACATTATATCTCCATTTGGAAAGAAACCGAAGGACTGGGTTAAAATTGCTTCTACTCAGAAAATTTTGACAAGAAATCCTGAGCTTATGATATCGGTAAGATTCTATGGAACAAGAGCATATCTTATAGACAAAAGTCTTATACCAATAGTTTTGTTATGGTTAGACCCAGTTGTTGGATATAACTTCATAACATATGGTTCATTCGATACGGAACGTTGCAGTGAAGGCTTACTTTACATCGTTCAGAAACCGAAGGACTTCAATACAAAGAGATATAAGATAGGAAGAACATATAATATAACTCAAAGATATGACAGTACAGTCAATAGAGTCAAGGTTGTGTTCGTTAATGATATGAGAGCTGCAGAAACAGAACTGCTTGAAGTTTTTGAGAAAATGTATGGTGCTCCATAAAAGGTAAAGAAACGTTTGAAGTAGATGAGATAGATAAAGCTATAAAATTATTTGACGAAGTTGCTGAAAAATACATGTAAAGCGTTTATTTTTGGTTTTTGTGAAAGTCAGAAAATAAAGTTAGTGTCATTTTTTTCATTTTTTTGTATAAAAGATATGATTTCAGGGATTTTTTTGACGAAGTGTCAATGTTCACTTCGTCAAAAAATAACAGTTATCTAATGAAAAAGTGTCATTTTATTTTTTTATTTTGTATGTAAGATATGATTTCAGGGATTTTTTTGACGAAGTGTCAATGTTCACTTCGTCAAAAAATAACAGTTATCTAATGAAAAAGTGTCATTTTATTTTTTTATTTTGTATGTAAGATATGATTTCAGGGATTTTTTTGACGAAGTGTCAATGTTCACTTCGTCAAAAAATAACAGTTATCTAATGAAAAAGTGTCATTTTATTTTTTTATTTTGTATGTAAGATATGATTTCAGGGATTTTTTTGACGAAGTGTCAACCTTCACTTCGTCAAAAAATAACAGTTATCTAATGAAAAAGTGTCATTTTATTTTTTTATTTTGTATTTGACGAGAATGTCGGGTAGATGGTTAGATCTCACCTGTTTTTTCACCTCTTTTTTCACCTCTTGAATTTTCATGAATTTTCCCGAAATAAAAAATAAAGTTAGTTTTATTTTTTTATTTTTTTTTATTTTGTATAAAAAAATAAAAATGTCAACAATCGGCACAACAGCAATACAAACAACTACAGCACCAAACTCTTTAGTCATGAATCCTACGTCAATGTTAGTAGAAATGAAAAGCTTCATTCCTTCTTCATATACTTTTGAAACAGAAATCCAGAAGATAAAGCAAGAACTTTTAACAAGTAATTTAGACTGTAGTGCGAAAGATGAAACAAATGAACAGTATCTTTATGAAATGCAGGACATTATTGACCATTTACCCAAATTGCCTGAAATCCAACAACAAAAACTCACTATTCCTGAATTCGACGAAATAGAAGTCAAAGCAACTGACTCAGTAGAAATAAAGAAGTTCATTCGTAAGGTAAACTATGAGTTTCTAGGATTTCATTGCAACCATAAGGTTATGGAAAAAGATTGCGACATGGTATATAAGAACATCTCTGACATATATAAATCTGAAGAATTTAAGACCTACGACAACTTTGTTTCGTTAGTTGCTGAATGTGTATGGCAGATAAGAGATAAAGATAGAAGAGGCAAAGTATGGAACAAACAAATAAGACCCGCTATGTTTGAGATGAAGAGAGCAATTGACGCTTTAGTTGTTTTAGCAGGTAAGGTTTCAGAATATAACGCAAAGATGAATCCGCAATGTTCTAAATGTAAAGCAGCAATGAGGAAATATAACTACTCCGTCAAAGAGATAGAACGTATGAGAAACGACTATGCAGACTTAAAGAAAGAAGCAGAAAAACCAGCAGAAGATAAAATGGACATGTTAGAATTTCTGAACAAAAACTATCCAACAGCAGAAGATTTCCTTCTATCTGACGTCAAGAAGAAATATAAAGAAACCTTCGGTATCGTTAAAACATTCGATGTACTAAAAGAAGAAATAGAGGCTACAAAACTGTTTAAAGTCTCACGAATTCATAACGTTTACCATGTAAAACGCTTATAAAATAACTGGGGTAGAAAAGAGGGTAGAAAGGAGGTTAGATCTAACCTTCTACCCTAAAATATATTTTTGCTGAATTCAGCAACAAAATTCTGAGTAAAATAATTTTTAGGGCTTGTGTCAAACCGTTGAGTTTTCAAAAATTTAAAAAATAACGTTTACCATGTAAACGCTTATAAAATAACTGGGGTAGAAAAGAGGGTAGAAAGGAGGTTAGATCTAACCTTCTACCCTAAAATATATTTTTGTCTGATTTACGCTCATTACGATGAAGAAGTCTTGACAAAACATATACGTTCATGTTTGACAAAACATATACGAAGAAGTCTTGACAAAACATATACGTTCATGTTTGACAAAACATATACGTTCATGTTTGACAAAACATATACGTTTAGTTTCGATGAAATCATGAAAATTCATGAGGTGAGAAAAGAGGGTAGAAAAGAGGTTAGATCTAACCTTCTACCCTAAACATTATTTTTGCTGAATTCAGCAACAAAAATCTGAGTAAAATGGCATAAGATTGCTACCCTCGGAAAACCGAGGGTAGAGATTCCGTATGAAAACAGTGAAGAACAGCGAGTACGTAAGAAAACGTAGTCGCCAAACTCTATGAAAACAGTGAAATTTCTCTAGAACCGACTTTTTTCGGTCTTGCATAAAACACATGAAACAGTGAATTTCCTTAAGACAGAAAAAATAAAGTTTATTTTATAAATATTTTTTTTTATCCGGAATATAAGAAGATATGTCAACAACCGAGAACACAACAACAGTTATAGTCCATGAAGCTATAAATGAAGAATACGAGTACATACAGTATAACAAACAGTTACGTCTCATTCGTTCAGTCAAAGATGACATGTACCAAATGCAAAGTATAATGAATGCTCTTCTTTCTACAAAGCAAGCATATCATTGGTTTGAAAACCAACAGACAAAAGAACTTTTAGAAGAATTTCCTCATATGTTTGCTACCCTCGGAAACCGAGGGTAGAGATTCCGTACGAAAATCGCAAGAATTTGGCTCCTGGTTTGAGAGGATATTATGTTCATAGACTTTTAGTAAATGCCGTAGCAATGTGGGCTTCACCTCGTTATGCTTGTTATATTTTCATGATGTTAGATGAACTATATAAAGCAGAACGTGAAGAGATGGAAAAGAAACTTCAAGCAAAAGATGAAGTCATTGAAGCAAAAGACAAAAACATTCAGAAAGAATACCACGTTCGGTACCAAAAGGTAAGGAAAAAGAACTATAAGTATATGATTTATACTGAAGAGATGGAAAATGAAGAAGATAAAGATATGGTTATGTTGCATTTAGTCAGAAGAAACAACAAAAGCTTTTACGACCTTGCTAAGATTTACAAATCTGACAGAAATTGGTTCTATCGCGAAACTTACCGATTTCAATGACACGAATGAAGATGTGAAACAATAGTTCAAGATAACGTTACCTCAAACACACTATGATATTAAAGGTTGTACAATACTTACCTTCAAAGAAGATTTGCCATTGTTAAAGGAAAAAATAACAGAGTATTTTGACAACTTCAAACAAGCAGAGTAATGAACTCTTTATTTTTCAAGCTTGACTTTTTACAATTTGAACTTTGTTTGCGTAGATATGAATTCTGAAAGAAGTATGAGGGTCTTGTATGACTTTGTACTTCTCCCATAGTTCATATCTGTCAAACTTACCTGCCATGGACTCTTTCATAAGTTCCATGAAATCGTCTTCGGACAATCCAGGGAAAAGTATAATGTCAGTAAGTATTCTTTTAACATCCTTACTTAAACTCTTTGCTGTCTGTACACAAATGACAACTGAGATGTTAAAGTGTCTGAGCTTCTTAAGAATTAGTTAGTATACAAGTCTCGTGTACGGAGGCACTGCGTTCCACCATACGCAATACTTGTGAATTTGACACTTTACAAAACCGTTAACGTATATTTTACAACACAAACACAAACACCAACTTAACCTTAAATATTTATAAAGCCGCCAACCACTTCACCTCACTACTGTAAAAATAAACGTTCTCACTTACAAAAGTATTGCAACTCTTCCCATTGCTGTGCTTCACACAATAGTTCATATTCTTCAGTATCGCTGCTGTCGCTCCAATCGTCAGAGTCAAAGTCACTGTCAAAATAAATGTTAGTAAGTTTTGACAAAGCTAATGAAACACGTTTACCGTTTGTATCGTATGCTTGTATAAACTTTCCATTCTTCATTCCTTCATAAACGCTCAAACTAACTTTACCCTTTCTCCCCTCGTCTGATAGAATGTATTTTCACGAGGAACGAAGAACAAATTCTTGAACTCATGACCGTTGTAGTTTGTTATCTCAATAGTTTTCGTCATTTATATAAAAAAAACTTAAAAATAAAATAAAAAATTAATGATATCACCACCCTCACACGTATGAAAACATAGCACAAAATAAATTTAGGTGAAGTGGTGAGATCTCACCTCTTTTTCACCTCTTTTTTCACCCTGTTGAATTCATTGCTTTATAACTCTCTTCCTTGGTTTCTTTTAGTTGCTTTCTTCACGTCTGTCTCCACTTGACTGTCTTTCTTCTTCGGCCGTAATGATACCAGTTACTTCCACCAGTCAATGGGTTCAAATGGTCGTTCATAAGGGTTTCCATACATTCCATAAGGTCCGTATGGATAAACTACTGGTGGAGAGAAACATTTTCTTTAGTTCCATCGACTCTATTTAAATGCATTGTTTTCACCTTTCATCTGGTCATTAAAGTCTTTTGCGTGTTTTGCAAACTCATCGTCCTTTCCTAAAAGCATTTTCTGACTCAGTCGCAACCAAATTGGATGCTTTATTTATGAGCCCTATTTTATTTAATCTTAACTTCTTTGCAACCCAGCCTCCAATCTTTCCTTTATTTGCATCTAATGTCTTCGAAACCCTTCCTCCACTCATTTTATTTACTGCGTCATAAGCTCCAAGTGCTTTTGCTCCAAATGCTAATGCTTTTGTTCCCATTGCGCCTAAAGCTGCCCAAGCTACCATTTACACCATATTAAAATCATCTCTCTTCAATATTATCTCATAAAAGTTCTCGTTACTGGAGAAAGTCAATGAAACATAAGCGTTCTCACGGGCTTCGCCCTCACCGCTTTGCGGTCTATCTAACTTCTTTCTTATATCATCTATACGCTTCAAAATGTCTGAACAATTGCTAACATCTTCTACAACAGTTATTTCATCATGAAATGACCTTCAAGAACAAGCTCATTTAATATGCTATTAAAATCATCTCAATAATGAGTCATCCTTTCCGTCTTTGGGTAGTAGCACAACATCTTTCATTGAAGAAGGTTCGACAAGTCTTATGTTAAACTTACAAAGTTTGTTATACTATATGCTTCGGCGTGCGAATACATGTAGTTTGAAAGACATAATATAGATTCTTTCAGCAAATTCACTTATACTGGATTTTTATAACAATGTTCTCACGAGACCAAACGCCACCAATTGACAATCTTGTAAGCAATCCTGCTGAACCTTCCTGTAAACGTCGATGGTAACATTCCATCGAAGGTCATCTATTGACATCGTTGAGTCACTGTATTTAAATATTTTCTTAAAGCAATCGTCATTATCTAACCATGCAATAGCTTTGAAGTTTTCATTCGAATATACATCTGCTTCATTAAATGTAAAACTGACTTCTTTGCAGAGGCGATTTTAAAATCTATTGCATTTGTTTCAAAAATTATATGCTATGGTAACTTCTGAAGGTAATGGATGTCCTTCCGCAGTAAGTTGTTCTCTCACTACCGTTTCTGAAAGCTTTGTGTTAAAAACTTTCATGTCATCTCCTGTATCTAAGTTCACATACACAGCAACAGGGAACTATCTTGCTTCTTTGTTTCATCATTATATCTCAAAACATTAAAGTTCTTCAATAATATTGTTCTTCCTGCTGGAATACTTCTAACTTGTCTTATTTCAATAGCTTTCTCACCTCCTACATACTCTACCAGTGTCTTGGATATTCATAAGTATACTGACTTTCTTGAATTTTGGTTGGTTTCATCATAACGTGTTCATAGTATATCTTTATACTCTTGTCAGTTAGACTCGGTGCTATGTTCTGAATATTTCTGACTTGCATTTTTAATGGAGATAAAATGAAGCATTTAATACATGACGTAGATGAAGACATGAATGAAACTACAGACAAACTTAACTCTTCTCTCATTCTTCCTTTCAGTAAGGACTATGAGTTCTGTTCAAATGGTGTTTATTTCTATTGTGGAAAGATGGGTTCAGGTAAGACATTTAACCTCATTCGTCATATACTCATAACAGAGCGTTTAGGAAACGACTCTTACTATGACCAAATCATTATATCAGCAACTTCAGACTCTATGGATTCAACAGCGAAAACATTTATGTCAAAAGTTCAAGCCTCTGTCGTTAAAGTTCAGACAGTGAACTCATTGAATTTCTTCAACGTTACATTCGACGTAAGAGAAAATATTATGCCATTGTTGAATTTATACAGTCAGGAATGCAAAAGACTTCAGAAGAGATGGAAAGAATTATTGACAAACACCACTTACGTCAATACTCAGGAGTTTACGATATGAAACGACTGACAAACTACATTCTATCAAAACTTTCAAAATACCCCTTCAAAAAGTATCCTTCAAACACTCTGCTCGTTTGTGACGACTTCGCCGGAAAAGGTTTAGTTCAAAGCCTGACTCACCATTAGCTAACATCATAACTAAAGTCAGACATTACCACTTAACTGTAGCAATACTTATGCAAACATGGCGTTTTTGCTTTAAACATAAAACGTCTCATAACTGACTTCGTTATCTTTCAAGGTTTCTCACGCTATGATATTGAACTCATTTGGAAACAGTCAGGTATAACATTACCTTTTGAAGAAATTTGGGAAGCATATAAGTCTCTCATCTCTCCTCGTTCATACCTTGAGATTCATATCATGACTAA